GGGCGGGGCCCGCCCGGCCCCTGGGTCCCCAGTGGGGCGCTTGGCGCTATCTAGGGGCCCAGAGGACGGCGGAGGGAGGGGGAGGAGTGGGAGTGGCTAGAACCTTGGAAATGGCAGACTGGGGACCCCGGAGGATAGCCCAGTTCAAGCCCTTGTGCGGATTCATCTTTAAGAGGTCGTCTTGGGCCCGGAGGTTGCAGAGTCCCCCGAGGAGAGGGACTCTTTCGTCACCTGTCCACTCCTTCTGGCCTCCAGACCAAGCTGGAGCCCCCCACCCTTCCAGCTCAGGGCTGTGGTCATAATTTTTAAAGACCAGGCACCCATCCCAGATAGACAGCCTTATTTATCCATGACTTCCTCTCCGGAGAGAAGGCCGGTGTGGCTGGATAACCTGACACTCCCCTCCTACCTCCAAGATGGACTGATATGCTTGTTACCTCCTGAGTTGTTTACCGGATCAGTAACTAGGTGCGACCTGTTGATAGCTGGTGCAGGCCGCGAGACCAAGATTTGGGTTGAGGGGACGGCAAAGCTCTGAGCTGCCTTCCCTTCTTTCAGGGCCGGGCGGCCAGGCAGCCATGCCTACCTGGGGGGCTGGCTCGCCGTCCCCTGACCGCTTTGCGGTGTGTGCGGAGGCTGAGGACAAGGTGCGGGAGCAGCAACCCCATGTGGAGCGCATCTTCAGCGTGGGGATGAGCGTCCTTCCGAAGGACTGTCCTGAGAACCCTCACATCTGGCTGCAGCTGGAGGGCCCCAAGGAGAACGCCAGCAGAGCTAAGGTGAACGCCCCTCCCTGACCCTTCCGGGGAACAATGACTCCCTCCCCCGTGGAGGCAGGGGAGAGGAGGGGCTGGGGCGGATCTTCCTCCTTGCTGGTCTCACTGGCAACCTCAGCGGCCTTGAGCTTTGAGGGACTTCCTAACTATGTTTATCTGGAGTTTTGGTTTCATTTCTGCTGTGACGACCCAAGTTCTGCCAGGGCTTGGAGACAAGTGATTCAATTCAAATCACTGGTGCTTTTTGGGAGAGTAGAGATAATCGGGTTGGGCAAGCAGGCCCCACCAAGGAATTCTCTGTGAGGTGGGAGGCTGGGCCACATTGCTTCCTTGGGAGTCAGCTGGGGCTTCTAGTAAGGCTCCACCACCTACCAGCCTTGAGGTCCAAGTCTCAGTTTTCTTATGTATAAAATGTAGATAATAGTATCCACCTCATTGGGCTTATTGTGAATGAGATAAAGCATGTGAAGCATGAGTTCAGTAAAAGTTAGCAATGACAATCATTATGATGGAAATATACAACACAATATACACATATAAATATTTAGAGAGACAGCCTTGTAACCAATTAATTATAATATCTCAAATTGAGTCAAGTTCTAAATGGAAATATTAGCCACAGGCTATCAGCTGAAAAGGAAAGAAGTGAGATTCTGCATCCCTTTTTAATCCCCGTTTTTGTCAGGATCTCTGGGGCTCCGTTGCTCTGCAAAGGCATCTTGGAGCTCAGGGGAGAGTAATGGGCCTGAAGGGGCTACTGGGCCACTTAGGATCCCAGCAGTCTCCTTTTTCCTCCCTCCCATTTTTTCCCTCCCAGGAATACCTGAAGGGTCTCTGCAGCCCGGAGCTGCAGGATGAAATCCACTACCCATCCAAACTGCACTGCATCTTCCTGGGAGCCCAGGGCTTCTTCCTGGATTGCCTGGCCTGGAGCACGTCAGCACACCTGGTGCCTGGGTCACCTGGCTCGCTGATGGTCAGTGGCCTGACTGAGGCCTTCGTCATGGCTCAGAGCCGAGTGGAAGAGCTGGTGGAACGGCTGAGCTGGGACTTTCGGCCAGGGCCAGCCCCTGGAGCCGGAGTGCTGAGAGACTTCTCTGCCTTGCTGCAGGCCCGGGGGGATGCCCACAGAGAGGCCCTGCTGCAGCTGCCCCTGGCCGTCCAGGAGGAACTGCTGAGCCTGGTGCAGGAGGCATCCAGGGGGCAGGGGCCCCAAGCACTCCCCTCCTGGAAGTGTGGGAGCCCAGGCCCACTGGGTGCTCAGTACCAGGGAGTCAGAGCTCCCCTGAGTGAAGGCAGCGAGTCCCTGGACACTGGACCTATGGGGCGAGGAGAGTCAAGGGGAGAGAGACAGGCTATGGAGAAGGAGGGAGGGAAGCAGGGTGGTCTCAGGGAGATGGATTTGGGGTGGAAGGAGCTGCCTGGGGAAGAGGCCTGGGAGAGAGAAGCGGCCTTCAGGTTGCAGTCAGAGGGAGGAGAGGCAGGGCAGGTGGGGCCCTTGAAAGGGAAGGCCCTGGGGAAGGAGGAGGTGCCTCAGGAAAGAGGAAGTTTCTGTGTCCCCAGTGAGCCTCTTGGTGCCCAGGGTCCCTGTCAGAGGGTACCTCCGCCCCGGGGAGCCTCCCTCCTCCAGCGGCTCCACAATGGGAAAGCCTCACCTCCAAGAGTGCCGAGCCCCCCACCTGCGCCCGAACCCCCGTGGCACTGTGGAGACCGAGGAGACAGAGGAGACAGGGGAGACAAGCAGCAGGTCGTGGCTCGAGGTCGGGGGTCTCCGTGGAAACGAGGCACCCGGGGGGGCAACCTGGTGACTGGCACGCAGCGTTTCCAGGAGGCCCTACAGGACCCTTTCACCCTATGCCTTGCCAATGTGCCTGGCCAGCCAGACCTCCGCCATATTGTCATTGACGGCAGCAACGTGGCCATGGTGTGAGTACCCAGTGGGGCTGAGGGTCCTGGGGAGGGGGAGGACATGGGCAGTTCTGGGGACATGTGCTGAGGGGCAGGCAGTCCAGCCAGGCTGCCAGGCCCCTCCTCTGGGGCCCCAGAGTGCTGACCCCTTCTGATCGCAGGCACGGCCTCCAGCACCACTTCTCGAGCCGGGGCATTGCCATTGCTGTTCAGTACTTCTGGGACCGTGGCCACCGTGACATAACCGTCTTTGTGCCTCAGTGGCGCTTCAGTAAGGATTCCAAGGTCAGAGGTGAGTTGGTCCTGGTCTTTTGTGTCCTGGGATAGGCCCTGCTTCCACCTTGAGGGTAACTCTGTTATGCTCCACTGTTTCTCTAGAGGGTCACTACCTGCAGAAGCTGTACTCCCTCAGCCTGCTCTCCCTCACTCCCTCTCGAGTCATGGATGGCAAGAGGATCTCCTCCTATGATGACAGGTACTTGCTTCTCTACTGGCCTCAGGCTTGATGTTCAAGGAGCCCAGTGGGAGACTGAGGGAGAGACAGATGCTCCTGACCCTTTGTGCTGTCTCTAGGCCTGGGTAGTGGGAAAAGAGCCAATTATTCCTCCAAGTGCCCGTATGACTGGGTAGGTAAACTTGCCTTGCAGGCGAGATGAGACGGATGGTTGTTTGCCCATTCATCATTCGGTTTTCACTCATCAAACTAAATGATGCCTTGTGTTTATCTAGTGCCATAGTGTCTAGAAAATACTGGCTTAATGGAAAGATGGGAAAGCTAATGACATGAGTAGCTGACAGATGCCTTCTTACAACCTAAACTCCAAACATGTAGAGAAATTCCCCAACCTTCTGGAAAAACCAGAGTAAATGTTCCAAATAGCAAGACAAATGAAGAGTCATAATCCATGCATAATAAGTCTGTACACAACATGGTGCAATAGAAAGATCGCTGGACTTAGAATTTGAAGATCTGAATTTGAGCCCAAGTGGCACTCCTCCTTGACTCGGACTGTGGACCAAACGTAGAGGGTTAACCTCTTTGTCTCAGGGTCCTCTTCCATTCATTCACCCTCCTCGAGAATATAAAAGAAGATAAGGTATGTGCTCGCTGCACTCAAGGTGCCAGGCAAGCGTTCAGTGATATTCCCCAACCTGTCTTGGCCCCAGTGTGGCAGAGGCTCTTACTCCTGTGGTACAGAGCTGGAGGCAGAGGGCAAGCATGGTTAACTGGCAAAGGCGCCTCAGGGGCAAAAGAAAAGGAGAACTTACAGCTGCCAGGGGGTTGAAATGAAAACCCAGGGCACAGTCCCTCCCAGTGCACATACACCAGGTGGGAAATGGGCAGGTTTTAAAAGCTAATTCATCAATTAAAAAATTTACAACTACAAGTTCTTTATTCTCTGGGATTTTCCATTTTAAATAAAAACTAGTTTCCAAATTGTAGTGATGGTACATTTTGTCTTTTCAAATACTTAACTTTTACTCCCTACCACGTAGGGTATTCTACCAAAAGGCAGTTCACTTTCTCCTGAGGCTGTTCTATGTCTGGATTTCACAGATTATCCAAGATTTGGAACCTTCTTTCCATACCAGCATTGACACAGAATTGAAACTGAAGATTGAGTCAGTTGTAATGAATTTTAAAGGCGTGTGTCTGTACAGTTGTGTAGGTCCTGGTAGGCAGACAGCGCAATATGAATCTGGAATTTTGCCTAGTTACAGTGAATAGGCACAGTGGTGGCCAGCATAGGCCTACTGACTGAATACTGCTGAACAACGTATGATGTAACATGATAATAGTAAAACCTGCTTCACCTGAAAGATCCTTTTGTATATCATATGTATACCATATACATTTATATGTCATCCTCTTAATTTGTTTTCCAGACAGAAACTCAGAACCAGTCTAATCTTGATTACCAGTCCCCTCTCTAATACTCTGTGTTTCAGATACTGATTGCCCACTTAGTACTAGGTGTCTGGCCTGCAGAAGGAGGCAGGAATGCTGGGAATCAGGCCAGACCTGATTCTTGACGTCAAAGAGCCCAAAGAAATGATAAATTCTACAGGAATTCGGAAGAAAGGGCGCCCCCTTGTGGCTGGGGTTTTGTGGGAAAGGAGGGATTTGAGAGTTTTTGGTTGATTGAGAAGGACCTGGGATGGGCTGGATCTCTTGGTTTTTAAACCTGTTAAAAAAAGATTCCCACCCACCACCTCATGAGTCCTACCCCAGTCCTGTGGAATCAGAATGACTAAAGTGGGGCCCAGGCATCTTTTTTTTTTTTTTTTTTGTGAGGAAGATCAGCCCTGAGCTAACATCCATGCCAGTCCTCCTCTTTTTGCTGAGGAAGACCGGCCCTGAGCTAACATCTATTGCCAATCCTCCTCCTTTTTTTCCCCCCTCAAAGCCCCAGTGGGTAGTTGCATGTCGTAGGTGCACATCCTGTTAGTTGCTGTATGTGGGACGCCGCCTCAGCATGGCCGGAGAAGCAGTGAGTCAGTGTGCACCCGGGATCCGAACCCGGGCTGCCAGTAGCAGAGGGCGCTCACTTAACCGCTAAGCCACGGGGCCGGCCCCCTAGGCATCTTTTTTAAAAAGTTTCCTTGGTGATTCTGATCATCACTGAGGTCTGGGAAGCACCTTCCAGATAGAGGGAATAGTTTGAGAAATGTGCAAGTCAGCACAGGACATGTTTGGAGAACAAGGTGTAATCTGATCATTGATTTTGGCAGGAGTTGAGAGTACATTAGGAATGTCAGGAGAGATGAGGCCATAAGGGTGGCTTGGAACTGGATTCTAGAAGGCCTTAGCTGCCAGGCCTGGGCATGTGGACTTTATTCAGTAGATAAAGAGCAAGTGTGGAAGAGTTTTGTATATGGGAGGGTTATGTGTAGGGGAAGAGCATGTTCTCTTCGCGGGGGTGCAGGAGAGACTGGAGCGTGGTAAATGGCTGGGGGCAGGGGACCACCTCATCAGGAGGCTATGCAGTATCTCAGTTGCAATATCCGAATAGCTAAAGTGGTAATGGTGGGACTGGGAAGGAAGGGGGCAGAGTGGCAGGCTTTTCAGAGGAAGAACATGATGGGTTTGTGACCGATTGGTGAGGTAGGTGGAAGAAGACAGAGCCAGAGCCAGATCTTACTGTCTCTTACTAAGGAGGCACAAAGTGTTGGGTGGAGGATTGGGGTGAGTGGAGGGGATGCTGTTGGGAGACCACTTTGGATTGGTCTTTGTTTCCTCTCTAACCCATGGCACCTGTGTCTACTCAGTCACCTGGTCGCTCGGTCAAGGTGAGGTGGAGGCCAGATCTCCTCACCAGAAGTGGGTCATGGGAGTCAATAATGCTCTTTGGGGTTGGGGCCTTGGAGAATCCCAGAATGGTCGCCATGGTTTTCGAGACAGGTTCATGGTGAAGCTGGCCGAAGAGACTGATGGGATCATTGTCTCCAACGACCAGTTCCGGGACCTGGCGGAGGAGTCTGAGAAGTGGATGGCAATCATCAGAGAGCGGTGAGGGAGCCCTGCCCTGAGAACAGGGCTTGGACTCAGACTTTTCTCTAAAACCAGCTCTGCTCTGCCACCGGTGAGGACTCTGGGAAGGGGCTTGACATTGCCTTGAAGGATGGTAGCCAGCAGCTTCTGGTGGTGTTGGTCTCAGCTGTCTGGAAGGTGGGCAAGGGCCCCTCTGTGACCATACATTCTCTGTTCCCATCCAGCCTGCTACCCTTCACCTTCGTGGGAAACCTGTTCATGGTCCCTGATGATCCGTTGGGGCGACACGGCCCCATGCTGGATGAGTTCCTGAAGAAGCCAGCCAGGTAATGCCCCACATTCTCCTAGACAGCCCCCAGCACTGGCCCTTTCTCTGAGGGGCCTTGCAGGCCTGGAGACTTGGAGGAAGCGTGACCTCAGTTTGGGCTGCCTTAATTCTATAGTAGTTTAAGTAGCCTTGGGCTTGGCCTTGAACTGCTTCCCAGGGAATCCTGACACAGACCCTCCTGGCTGGGAGGGAAGCTCCTTTGTCCTGTTTCCCCCAATCAGTGGGTTTGATGGAGTTATTTGGAAGATGGTTGCTTTTACTTACAGCCAGTTGTATTCCGCACACCCTCTGCTGGACTAAGTGATTAATTTATTAAAGTAGAACTACGTCACACTATTGACCGGGTTCACCTTCCTGGTTCCAAAGGAACTTTCCATCTTCCCTTCAGAAGTGGGTTGATAGTGCCGCTCAGTGGACAGCTTGGGGAACTGCAGGATTGCCCCTCAGAGCCAGGAATAGGCAGGGCAGTTAACTGGAGTGGAGAGCTGAGAGGTCCACTGAGCTCGAACTGCCTTCCAGAATGCTCATCAGCTCTTCTTGTTCTCTCTGCTTCTTCCCAGGGCACAGGGGTCTTCTAAGGCTCAGCCTCCTTCCAAGGGCTTCACAGAACATGGTAATCAGCAGCAGGGAAGAAAAGAAGAGGAAAAAGGCAGTGGTGGCATTCGGAAGACCCGGGAGACAGAGCGGCTCCGGCGCCAGCTGCTGGAGGTATTTTGGGGCCAGGATCACAAAGTGGACTTCATTCTGCAGCGGGAGCCGTACTGCCGGGACATTAACCAGCTCTCTGAGGCCCTGCTCAGTCTCAACTTTTGAGCCTCACCTGCCTGAGTGGCTGCCACTTGGTCGGCTCCAGCCTCACCCAGCTCAGCCCCTTGTGTGAGGGCTCCCTCTGCTGCTCGGACCCTGACCCAGACTCACTCTGAGTCGGTGCTTTAGGTCAGGGAAGCACTGAGGAAGAGCATTCACGTGTAGGGGGTATTCTTGCCTGGGGCACTTTGGGGTCGGGTCCCTAAGTGACCTGATCTCATCTTGAGTCCGGACCTCAACCAGCTCTCAGGAGGTCCTGCTCAGCCTTTACTTTTCAACCTTACCTTAGCACAGGGTTTCCGTAGGGTGTGGGGCTGCTGGAAAGGGCAGGTCCTGGAGATTGGGATGGCGGCTCCTCCTCCAACCTGAGCTGGGGATGGAGGCTCGGGTGGTTGGGAAGTGAAGCCTTTCCTCCCCCTGGCTCAGGAAGGATGGAGGCCAGGATGCTCCCAGGCCTGGCTGGGCTCCTGGGTGCAGTGAAGGGAATGCTGGCCCCTGGAAAGGCTAGTGTCACGGGGCCCGGGTCACAGTGGTGCAGCAGGGAGCTGGTGGAGAAGGCAGAGGGAGACTTGGCTTCTGGTCTCAGCTGTGCCTGTCTGTGTCCTTGACTGAGCTGCATGGCCTTTACTTCTGCCTATAAATCAGGGCTAAAAATGCCTGTTGGGAGGAGAAATGAGAACATGGAGGAGGGCCGCTTGGAGGGAAGGTACTTGGACCAAGTCTCAGGTGTGTCTGTGGCTGCACAGGCTTCCTAACCAAAACCTCACTTCCAGAGCGCGGAGGTCCTCTGTCCCCAGGGCCTGTGCCCTAGATTTTAACACTGCGTCCTCAGTATAACGTGCCCTGTAATGGCTGCGTCTCTTTTGGGCAACCCCCCAAATCCACATTTATAAAACAGTTAATTAGGGGTGACTGTTTGCATTACCAAAATACTCTCAGGGTTCCTATAAATGGCAGCTCTCCTGTTGCATTTGGGTGTTTGTTTACAGATGAACGGATGTGCCAGGAAGTCCCCAGGTAGATGCACATGCTGAAGTGTCGAGCATTCACCAAAGCATGAGGTCATGCTTGGCAATGATGATGTTAATGTGCTCTGACCCTAGCATTTTCTCTGCAGAACACACGTGTTGCATAAAGCGAGGCCCACTTTTGCTTTGTGTGTTTGTGTGTGTGTGTGTATGGGGATGGGAGGGGTTATAGAGCTTGTATCTAGATGAACCAATGATCTGGAAAATGAAAACTGAAGAATCAGAGATGGAAGATACCTGACTGGCCACCAGACCAACTGCTGTCACATCAGGACATTCTCTCTCCACCCTGATGCCTACAGGTCATTGTCCTGCATCTGCTTGAAGTCCTCCTGTTCCCCGGGAATTGACTGCCTCCAAGGCAGCACGTTCCACCACACTAGTCAGTAGGCCATCCTTTAGCATGCCCCAATTGTGCTTTTCCGTTACTTCTACCCTTGAGGCCGGTCATCCCCCTGGGAACAATACAGAGCCAGTCAACTTCCTAGCGTCCAAGACCCGATAAAGGAGTAACACAGGTGCCGCTGGGTTCTGTGCTGTCTGGGCCCGGCAGCAAGGCCCTGGACATGATCCTCTTCAGACTCTGACTTCTCCCTGAGTGGCACAGGAAGTTGCATACTGTTGTTCCAGTCCGTTCCAGCGACTAGCTTGGGGAGCTGAATGGTGATGGAGAGGGTCTCTGGGTCCCCGTGTCTGAGCCCCGCCTCCCCATTGATGAGGTGCACCACTAGACCATATTTACCTGGGCTGGGGGCAGGTGTGTTGGAGAGAGGCTAGCCAGGGAGGTGACAATGACTTAAAGTCCCCTAGGAAGAAAGGAGATTGGTTAATATGGCCTGAATTGGGGGCTAGGGGAACTACTTCTGGTCAAGTTGTGGCAGATACCAGGGTAGATAAAAAGGGAGAGGGTCCTAGATGAACACTTGGGGCTTTGTTTCCTGAAGCCTGAGTCTATAGTTTTGGATAGGGTCCTTGCCCTTTTCACTTTCAATGATGGGGGTGTGCAGTAGGCCAGAGGTATCTTCTGCCCTTTCATGCTGGAGACCTTGGTTGACTGAAGTGGCCCCAATCAGATGAAAGGCAAGTACTAAGCTTCTTACAGAGAGGGATGTTGGCTTTGTCTTGCTGCAGGTTAATGAACTGGGACCAGTGTGTGATTGCTTTCTTAATTCACTGCCATTGGGTGACAGACTGAAGGCTGTCCTAGACTTGGGCCTCGACTCTTCCTCTGCTGGCATCCTAATGGCAGTGTGAACAAGTATGCAGGGTGACCACAGAACCCACTGGAAATGGAGCATCATTTCTCTTGTCTTCTAGTCTCTACCTTTATTATAACCTCATGCCCCAAATTTGTTACCAGCTCTTTTGGCAATAGAGGGACCAAGAAGGTCCATTGGTCCATTGCTCATTCTAACTTTCAAAACTCCATGTAGGGGAAAGAGTCATCTAGGGTGACATTCTTTGAAATAAATTCCAGGAGGATCTAGGCCAAAGAGATGAGCCAAAGCTAGTGAGATAATTTATCTTTATTGCCCAAACGACAGAGCATCCTGTACACAACAGAAAGGAGGAACAGGGCAGGGATGGGACCTGTGGAGAAACCAAACTTGGAGATTCTTTTCCTAGTAGTTGAAGAGGTCATGGTCCCACCTTGATGAGACGGTGACCTTGAGAAGTGGCTTGTCTTTCTCAGTTAAATAAGGTGGAGCAACAGAGCAATGAGAAAGGATAGGGGAGGAATCCCTAAGACCCAGAGGGTTTCAGGTCTCAAGTAGAGGAGCACCTGAGCCTATTCACAGTCTAACAAGGAAGCCATTGTGGAGGGACAGGCCTCGGGCCCAGCCATGAGCCTCCCCACTTAGGCTACGACTTCCTTCAAGGCGGCCCCCAGCTCTGGGAAGGAATACTGGTAGCCAGTGGCCAGTGTCCGCCGGGGGACCACCTTCTGGCCCTCCAGCAGCATGATGGCACGCTCTCGCCCAAAGACAGCTTGCACCACAGTGCTGGGGAAAGGGATGAAGGCTGGGCGGCCCAGGGCTGCACCCAAGGCCTGGGCAAACTCAGCATTTGTAGTGGTGGAGGCTGGAGCCACTCCATTCAGGACTCCCTGCACATGGCTTGCTTCCAGGGCATGGGCCAGGATTCCCGCCAGGTCCCCGATGTGAATCCAGGGGAAGAACTGATGGCCTGAGCCGATGGGGCCTCCCAGGCCCAGGCGGAAGGGTAGCAGCATGTGACCAATGGCACCGCCCCCACGGCCCAGCACAACCCCTAGAGCAGGCAAGAAGGATGGTACAGGGAGGCCCCTCAGCCTCCAGGTGGCCCCACTGTTCCTCCTGCTTCCCCTTCCTCACTCCCCATGCTGACTTCGCTCTGTAGCAGTTGAGGGTGTGGCTCGTTGGGATTTCCTGTCCTCCCAGGTAGGTCAGAAGTGGTGGCATTGTCTCTGTAAGCTCAGCTCCCCTGATCCCCTGACTCCCCATCCCAGAGAAGAAGGTCCCAGGCCTTCTTCTGATACCCAGGGCCCTGGGTCTCACCGGAGCGCACCACCACCTGGCGTGTAGAATCTCCCGGAAGCCTGGCTGCAGCTTCCCATTTGGTTACAAGGTTGGAGAAAAAGTCAAAATCCCCTCCTGGGCTGTCCTCATCATACTCTGCAGTTGGGCTGGGCTGGTAGTAAGCTGCTGGGGCAACAGCACTCATTTGCCCCGGGGTCCTTGCAGGCCCTTTGCAGTCCAAGGCTCCCCATGGCCTCACCCGCCTTGGCCCTTGGGATCTCCCCATAAGAAGACAGACCCATGGATATTTTCTCCTTGAGCTGACTGTTCCTGCCCTGAGGAACTCTTATCTTTAGTTGCAGGGCTAAGCTGAGCAGCTGCTAGAGTATAGTGGTTAAGAACAGAGACGTGGGTGCCAGGCTGCCTGAGTGTTAATCTCAGCTCCACCATTTATTAACTCTGTGCCTTGGCAAGTTATATAACCTCTGTGTGCAGAATTTTTGCATCTTTAAAATAGGAATAATAATAGTACCTACCTCACAGGATTCTTGTGAGGATTAAATGCTGTAATATGTGTAAAACACTTAGAATAGTGGCTGGTATATGCTATGATTGTTGGCCATTATTTGGTCCCAAAGGTGAAATACAAGAATCAGGAATTCTGTTCCTAAAGAACTGTACTCTAAGAGTCAAGGGACTTGGGAGTAGGTGGGATTTTTCCTGGCACTGGGAGCAGTGCCACAACCCCCTCTATCTCTGAGGGTCCCCGTTTCTCAGCGAAAGTACATAAGGTCAGGAAAAACATGCGTGGATCAAGGGCCTAGGAAGTCCCTGTGCTTGGAGGACACCAGCAATCTGGGCATACGTAGCTAGAACGGCCTGAGCGCCCCCCTCACTGTGGACTCCCTTCCCCCGGCTCATGTAAGGGTTGGTGATTTGGTGCATACCTACACCGGTGACTAAGACCCAGGCCTGCGGGGGCTGTGGGGCCTTGGTGATGGCTCTAGCCAGCATGTGGGTGGTCTCCAGGCGGCTGCTGAGAACCTCTTTTTGGAAGGCTTCATTCCATCTGCAGGAGACACATAAGGGAAATAAAGAGCCACTAAATACATACATGCAGGTATCCCTCCCTCTTTCCCTGGGGCTGGTCCATATCCATGTCTAGTAAAACCCTGCCTTGTGCCTTAGAGAAATGGTGCATCTTTCCTCTGGAGAGAAAAGGCATATCTTTTTTGGGCATCCTGAGTTATAAGTGGGGACTGAAGTCAACTGGCTGAATGGGTATAAGGGCAGGTGGGCGTGGAGGAGTGGGGAGGGATGAGTAGTCCAGGATATAGGTTTAGTTCTCTATCTGGCAGCTCCGTTCTCCGCAGCTCACAGGTTCTCATCAGAACCGTGCCCTCTCCTCCCTCTGCTCTGAAGGATAGAAGCTTTAGGGCGCAGGCTGACCTTCGGAGAGGGTTGAGGATGTTCTCTCCGGCCAGGTTGACGGCGGCATCGCAGCGGGGCAGCCCCGACGTAGCGAGCTCATCCTGTTAGAGAAAGGACACAGTGACCGCGAGGCCCCGCCCTGCGCCGCCAAACCAGGCCTCCCCATTCTCCTCCCCAGATTCCAGAGGATGGACATACCCACGTGATCCGATCCGGCCCGGGCTTTCGGGAGACCAACGTCACTTCGTGACCCCTGGCTTTCAACAGCTGGGTTAGGGCTGT